GTTTAGGTGGACCCGAGAAATTCCGGGTCACGGCTCACACGCGAGCCACCCATCGCGGCAGCACCAGCGCGCGCCGCTCCAGCCGGTAGCGGGTGGCCAGCACGGCGAGTACGCAAACGATTCCCCCTACTCGCGCGTGGAAGCCGACAAAGCTCCGCCACGAATCCTGTCCACGCGTTTGTTTCGCCCCCACAAAATCCTCATTCCTCGCCTAACTGTCTTCTCATCATATCTCTCGTATCTTCCACAACCCCCCAAAAAAAATAACAACAAAACACCAAAAAGAAAATAAAAATAAATTTACATTTTTGGCGCCCTATCTTCGTTTTAGATTATATCATCTAAAATAACTTTATTAGCATAACAGTGCGAGGGTCATGATAATTTATTATTTATTTATTTTTATCTAAAGTTAATCTCACGGTGGAGTACGGATAATTTTCTTTTTCGGAAATAAACAGAAAAAGGGAACCCCCGAGGGCCAAGTGTGCAGAAATAGGTGGGACGGGAGGTGGGAGAGCCCCACGGGTCGCCACGTGTCCCCCCCGGCCGTGCATTCTCAGCCACAAGGTCCCTGCCTCCTTCTGGAATTTTCCATCCGGCACCTAAAATCTTTTTTCCCCCCGGGAAAAAAAAAAAAAGAAAGAAAGAAAAAAAAATCAAACCAACCCCAAATCCGACGTGTCGCCTCCGCTTTTCTGTACATCGTCCCTCCAAAATCGAACTCGTCCTCCATTTTCTCCTTCTCCTTCTCCTTCTTCTTCCTCGCGGAGCTTCTTCTGATTTCTCTCCCCTCTTCTCTCGCTCTCGCTCGCGGCGCCGCGATTGGTCTCGCTTCGGGTTTCGTCCCCGGCGCTCTTCCCTTTCGACTCTCCGGCGAACTTCCGCCGGTCTCGGCGAGAGAGAGAGAGAGAGGCGGAGGCGGAGAGGCGGGGCTCGGTCTCTGTGTTCCCGTGGGATTCGGAGCGAAATCTGGTTCTGCGGGGAGCTTTCCGTCGCTCGCCGACGCGGCTTCCGTTCCTTTCCTCGGGAAAGATCGATTCGGAGGGGGGCGGGGGGCCCTTCTGCGGTCGGTAAGTGCGTGCTTCGGCTCTGATTCGGTTCTTCTCAATGCGGCGAGCGAGATGATTTCGTTTTGATAAGCGGGGATTGGAATCTCGAATTGCGTGGCCGCGAGAGAGTTCGATAGATCTGCGGAGAATTTCCGTTGGTTCCCGCCGTTTGATGATTTCGCGCGGTGTTCTGGAATTTGCTCTGAACTGGGTGCGGTGTTGTTTGTTTGTTTTTTGTCTTCTCTCTCTCCTCAGGGCACGGTTCTGGACTTTGGCTGCAATGGCTGGCGAGGTAAGCAACGCGCACGAGTCGAAATCTGAAACATTCTTGTCTCTGTTGTATGTTTGAGGCGAAACTGGTTTTGGCTTTTAGGGGGAAAGAGTTGGTTGCTTATCCCCCCCAGAAAGCAGAGAATGAAGTAGAAATTAGCTTAATTTCTGGAGAGTAGAGGTTATGCTTATCAGATTTTTCACTCGGGCGACCCTGTTGTGATTCGATGGTGTATTTCCGATCGCATGTTCCGAATTTAGAGCCCACCTTGAACTATTGGTCATGTCGATTTTAATTCACGGTTTTGCGGCATCTTTAACCCTGTTTGCCCGCAAGTTGGATTATAGAATGGACGTTTGAAAGAGTTGACTTGAGTTGATTGATGAGACGAGCTCTTTATTTTTTGTGAAAATTTTTCAGTTAGTGATTTCGATTAGTCTGGCTAGCTTATATGGTTCTCTTTTTCGGTAGGTGTTAGCCTGAAGTTCACTTTTGTGACCTGAGTAGCGAGATTGTTGGAATTGGAAACCCTCCCTATTTCCTTTTCTATCTTTGTGTTTTTATCTGTGATTCTCTGTTCCTTTGCATCCTAATATAAATCAGTTCGTCAATCAGGAATCTTCATCCTAATTTGTTCAAAGTGGATATAGGCACAGAATGAGGGTGCAGCGTCAAGTGCCTCGTTAACGATTCCCAATCGTTCTTCCAATGTTGGGTCACAATTGGAAGCTGTGGATAATCTGAAAGAGCTGCAAGCCCTGGAAAATGACCAGACTACTAAGGTAGTTCCATTCAGAAGTTACATTCGTTGTAATATCGAAAATGTGTTTCCAGGAACGACATGTTCATTGGTTTTGACCGAGTTTCTTTCTGTTTCTGTTAGGTGAGGAAGCCTTACACCATCACCAAGCAAAGAGAGAAATGGACAGACGAAGAGCATGAGAGGTTCCTCGAAGCTTTAAAACTGTATGGCCGCGGTTGGCGACAGATAGAAGGTAATATTTCTATATGCCTCTTTTATCTTCTGAACCTGCAATTTTGTAGATCAGTTTTCCAGTGTATTTACTATAGCATGTACGCAGAGCATGTAGGAACCAAAACTGCGGTTCAGATACGAAGCCATGCCCAAAAGTTCTTCTCTAAGGTGGAAAGCTCATGTTTCAGTTTGTAATTTGTTTATGCAAGTGCATGCAAAGGTTTTAAGCTTTGGCAATCAGAAAACTCTATGTTGAGAATACATGTATGTGTTTTTTCTTTTTCTCCCTTGGAATAGGTAATTGTTGCTTAAACATTTTTGTTATGCTGGTTTCCTTTCTTCCAGGTTGCTCGCGGGGTAAGTAGCAGCAGCGAGGGTGCAATTAAACCAATTGAAATACCTCCTCCACGGCCAAAGCGGAAGCCAATGCATCCATATCCACGTAAATCTGTTGATTCTAAGGAAGTGAAACTGTCCTATCAACAAGAGAGGTCTCCATCTCCAACATCTTCGGTAGCAGAGGAGAACACTGGATCTCCTACTTCAGTTTTGTCTGCTCATGGTTCAGACATGCTAGGATCTGCAGCTTTGCATCAACAAAACAGATGCTCTTCGCCGACTTCATGTACCACTGATGTACCCTCTATCGGTCTAGTTGCTATTGAGAAGCAACCTGACTCATTCAAAGAAGAAGATAAAGGTTGTCTCTCCTCAGCTCAGATGCCCGGTGGTTTGACCTTGGGAAATTTACCTACAATGGTACAGTAAAATCTCAGCTTTCAACTAGTTTACTTCCTTTTTAGATGACCGCGGGATTATGACTTTGTTTTTTGTGATCTTGATCGTAATTTTTCCAGAATTGTGATTTAAGTTCCAAAAACACTTCATCTCCTGAGGGAAATGGAGGAACTGAAGCACCCTTCATCAAGCTCTTTGGAAGGACTGTTTTGGTCACTGAAATCCAAAAAACAGACCATCCAGATGCGGGCATTAAAAAATCACCTGCACAGAAGACTGGTGAAGAAGATTCGGTTACTGAGGATGAGGGAGTTGGTAAATCTCTATCTTCAAAAGAATTTGACACGCAGTTATTTCTTGGACTAGCTTGTGGTAACAATGGATCCTTGCGCTTTGCTGCCCATGTTGCTCCTGCCGTGAAACTTCAGAAAGAGGATGGTGAACCTTCACAGCTCACTTCTGATTGTTTCTTGCAGTGGTGGCCTCTGTACCAAGGTCCACCATTCATCTATTTCACGCCTTTTGACTCAACCTTGATTCAAGGACCTTCAGATTCTCACAAGGATCAAAAGATGGAAGTAGAGGAAATCTTCAAAGAAAGATCCAGCGAATCAAACACGGTAGCAGACAACATAGAAGGACATGGCGATAATAATGTAGATAACAATGCAGATGGTGTTTTTCCCAAGTGCCAAAAACACTTGGAGCAGAGAACTCACCCTGGCGACTGCAAGAAAGGTTTTGTGCCTTACAAAAGATGCTTAGCTGAGAGAGATGTCAAGTCTCCAGTAATTGTTTGTGAAGAACGCCAGGCACAACGAACCAAGGTGTGTTCATAGCACTGCCTACTCAGGTAAGACACAATCTTATCTGGTAGCGTAGAACCTGTTTATAACTGATCAGCATGATCCTTGAGCTCCCTCTGCTCCACAATTGTGTAATATTCCTCTGCGTACGAGGGGGTCGGCGACGAAGTTCACATAATTGTTTTAACTTCTAAGTTAAGCATGTCTGATCATTTCGAAAGAATGATTGGCCGTCAGTATCAACCGGAGCCTCACCATCGTCTTCTGACCTTTTCCATTGATGCTTAAGTAATTGTAACCTTTGCTGCTAAAAAGCATCTCCTCTTTTGGGTTTTAGAAACGATCGCTGCGATTTTGTAATCTTGGACTGAATTTTCTTTTATCATTTTTTGACGGAATAAGACTCCGTTTATTCGAAACCGTCATGTGCTATGCTTCAGCTCAAGATTGTGGAGACTCTATTTTGACTATAATTCTCTATACAATTCTGGATCTGATGTCGTTGGCTGCTGGTTCCAATAGTTATAGGTTCTTTTGTGCTTTTAGCTGGGGCATTTCATGCTTCATGTTTTCACCATCCCCTAGATGTTTGATCAAAGTGACTTGGGATCTCCATTTGTTATCTTTTATTCCAAATAAGAAACTGGTATGACATACGTGCATTTTGAAATTGAAACCTTAAGTAGCTCTTGTGAGATGGCGCAAAAGCAGAGATATCCGTATTGGCTAGACGCGGTACGACGTAGAACGAGTAAGTCTTAGCCACTTCACATGCATTGGGTGAGACCAGTTAGATTTAGATTATTGGGTTCATCGTAGATTACAAGCCTCAGGCAAGATTTCATCCCAAAACCTATGACTTGCCGATGCTCTGAGTCGACTACGTTGTTTCGGGATCACTTGTCTAGGGTCCTAGCCTCTTCGTAGTTCTCTTCTTTCTTCCTTCTTTGCGTCGAATTTCCCCGAGTATTAGTCCTATTCATCATAGTGCCCAGTAAGAGATGGGCCATTTGTGTGGTTGCGTGCCCAAAGAAACCATTGTTGGCAGACCAGTACGTCAGGCCTTATCCAATTCCAATCGCCATCAAAGTGCGAGTCTCTCATGACCTCGCTACGGGGAAAACGAATTCGAAACTGAATGGCAATTAGCGAGTGTGTAGCAACAACTTGTACTCCCCAAAAAGTAATAAGCTAAGGTAGAAGAAAGATTTACAAATCCCGTGGCTTATTATGTATAAGTGAAGTAATGCTCATCGCGTTATTCACCGCCAACCATGTACCGATATCGATAGCTCGGCCTTCAAACTTGTGAATGCCTTCCCGTTAGAGCGTAGAGACTTCCTCTGATCCATCCTTTGGAGCAGTGCTCGATGAGTACCATGCGTCGTCCGTGATGAACTGCATCCACGAGTCGTCCTTTTCCTCCTCGTCGATGCACGAGGACTGCCCGAGGAGCGTGTCGGGCGACATCGTCTCATAGTCGTTCATCAACCCCCGCGAGGTCTCTATCGAGGCCGAGCTGGATTGCCCGGCTGGCTCTTCCCCTTCAGCACACATCCCGTTTTTCTTGAACACGCGACACAATGCGTAAGAATCCTGCATGAACAAAAGGAGATTACTAAGTTTAAGAGTAGGCATGCCCATCTCATCTAACAATGCACATGAGCTTGGCTTACATGTATCAAGTGCGTCTAATAATTTTATGTGCCCGCTAAGGCATTAACACTGTTCTTTCCTCGAGGATTAAATACTAAATAGAAATATCTCCCATACATCGGCTGAGGGTATTATTGAACTCTTTGTTCCCAGGTTTACGATCTATTCGATTGAAATGTTAGAAAATGTGGAGAAGGAAAGACCTGACGCCATCCAAAAACCCAGTAACATTTCACAATGGAAGTTACAAGCCAAAATTCAAATTAAAGGTCAAAAGAAAGGGGGTGGTTTCTTTTATATGAAAGACAGAAATATTTCATAAAAAAGTACTAGTAAAAATACAAATGAAAGGTCAAAAGTTAGGTTTTTTTTGGACAGAAAGATGTGAAATATATACATGGGGAGAAGCGAAAAGTTAAAGAGAAACGTCCAAAAATTAAGAAGCCTTGCCATACAACATCTTCGGATGCTCTGAGGAAGTACTTCTGTCCTAAGTTTTCTAGTACCATCTAATCTAATTTAGAAATTCAAGCGTATCAAATTGGTTTGTAGCTTTGTTCATCCACGTCCATAAGTATGTGCAGGAAATCAACTCATTTCTCGTATGTTGCTCCTAGATCTTATGGCTAACACACATGTATCATGACATGATAATCTACTGTTGCGGAGTCTTGTTTTTGGTCCATGAAGAATAAAGTGTAAAGCAACCGACACCTAGTTACGTCAAGAAAAGCGATGTGAACATGCACTTTAACCATAGGGGAAAAGAGAGATGATAAAAAAAAGAAAAATATAGAGACATAGAGACAAAGAAATCCACAATTGAGATCAAAGAATGTAAGAAAAGACGAAAGGACCGAATTATTAAAATTCCCAGTCTCAAAGAGATTGGGCCATATCAAGGATCCTACTTTTGTCTCACTTGCTGGAGAAGACAAAAGTGAGGGGTAGACTTCGTCACTTGAGAGAGATGCTGACAAATGCAAGGAAGGAATATGATCGAAAGCACAGACGCGGCAATAAAGTGACTAACATCTTTAGTTCAAAGACAGAAAAAACATGGCAAAAGCCCTAATAACCCTAAGCTAAGGGCCTTTGGCATGCATAATCTCATGCACTTCCCACGTTACCTAACGTCGCGCCAATGGCAAGCCCTAAATGCAACTTTAGCTTTGTTTTGGGTCGCTGTTCTTGATGGAAAAAGAGAACTAATCAAAAGTGACAACACCTCCTTTTGTTTTTCTAGATTAGGCGTGAAGCGCAGTCCATGGTCCAGGAGAAAATTAAGGAAAAAGATAAGGGTCTCTGATTGGGGCCATCCACAACATTGGGAAGATGATCTCTTGGGTTCAAAATTCAGATATACGTAGTGTTTGTCGTGCCAAACGTGTTGTTTGGTACACCAACCTAGTCCGAGTGTCCGGGACTGCGCAGAAATGTTCATTCTGCCATCTGTTAACTATACAGAAGAGCATGACTTATCGCTGGAAGAATGTCATGTTTTGCATAAACGTAACAATGCGATTCAAGATGCGCGACACCGAATGATCGGGTTTATGCACATAACAGCAGAAGCGTCTGACTGCACTTTGCACAGTTCAAGTTCTGCGGATGTGTGGTTTCACTAAGTTTAATCCGAATGGTGCAATGGTCTGGCCGGACCTACGTCTGTACTCTTGAGTTATCAAGAACAAAGTCCAAGTGGAGGAATTCTTTCGTATTCGGAGAAACATGTGATTTTCTTCTTTTAGCAAGTGAAATCTCACTAAATAGAAAGTAGAATGTATGGTGTATGTACCGTATCCGCAATATAGATAGCTAGTTTTCGTGCACGCCCTACGCATGTGAGAAACCGTTTTCGTTACACATGCCACATAATAAACTAATGATAAATTAAATTCATTAATTTTACTTGGGCAGAAAATAATGCACTTGGCATTTTTCTCTTTTTTACCACCATATAAATTCTTCTCTTAAAAGCAAACGCCGAATAAATAGTTTGTCATTCTTTGAATAACTGAAAATTGCTCGAAATGCAATAAAAATAAAATGAGAGAAGCATTCTAAGTTTTCTCAAAATGATGAAGTTGATTATCGCATGATAATAACAATTAAGGAAATTCACCCAATTTTACCCTTCTTCTTTTTCCCTCTCCTTAAAGCTAAATGAGTTTTGCAAATAAAGAAAAAAGTGCTAAAAGAGTTACATGGGAATACAAAAGCGAGACAACTGACACTTTCAACTTAAAAACACATCGATAGATCGGAAGACTTGACCATGATGCACTGTGGTCAGACCAATTTGTTGATTTGAAACTTTGAAAGTTTCATATCGATATATAAATTGTGAAAAAAAAAACTTGTTTTGATATATGCTTATGTTTATTCGCCATCGTTCTCGATTTTAAACACAATGCAGTTTGCATGCAGAAGCTTATTGGTAAAGGGGTTTTTGATTTCAGGGTACCTGCATTCCGGACGTATCCTCGCATTCCTTGTCGTCGAGCCGGTACTCGTGCATCACCCAGTGAGTCCGAATTCCCTGAGGAGCTCGCCCTCGGTAGTAAACCAAAGTCTTCTTCATCCCGATCGCTCGGTTCTGGCACATCACCCTCCGATCTTTCCCGGTCGACTTCCAGTACCCGGCCCGCGTCGCTCGGTTGGTCCTGAACCCGTTTGGGTATTTCCGATCCCGCGGCCCGAAGAAGTACCACTCAGGGTCTCTACTCGGAAGAAACGATTTCTCTACAATAACAAAAGCTGTCGTTAGATTGTGAGCTTGGCGAATTATCAAGACATATGCTTAAAATGTACAGATATGAGAGTGTCTGCTGGTGTGTATGTTGACAGAGATGGCGTCTTCAACTTCAAGCAATATCGAATGGCACTCTAACATTTGAAATCCCCATTAATTTTGTTAGAGAGAAAGAGAGAGAGACCTGCTAATTCCCACGGTTCACATTTGTAGAGATCAACCTCAGGAATGATGTCAAGCTCGATCTCTAGGCCATTGATCTTCCTCTTGAGATAGTAGTTAACGAGCTCCTCGTCGGTCGGGTGAAACCTAAAACCGGGCGGTAAACCTATCGGCGCCATTCGTTTCTCTCTCTGTTTTCGGCTTCTCCTTCAAAACATTCACCTCAGCTTATTCTCTCTCTCTTTCTCTGTTCTCTTTTCTCTCTCACCACAACCATCATCATGGTACTTATAAAAAGGATTCAAAATCCCTTCTCTTTGATCTTCTCTCCTTCTTTTTCTCCTCTTGATGGATCGCTTTTTTTCTCTTTACAGATTCTCTTCCCAGACAAACGTTTCGCTCAAGCCCTTTTCTTTCACAAGATAACGAGAGAGGTAAAAACCGTGCATGCACCGTCCCAACTTCATATTCATTACAAGTCTTGTTATTCATGCACATATAATATCATCATAGTTAACACTATAGCTTAAAGGATAAGCCTGATTAGGGTTTGTGTGTTTGTTCAATGTCAGCATATAATACTCTCGTTAAGGGCACATTAATTGCTAATGTTTTTGGCCATCTATGCATTGTACCAGAGGCATAAATGATGGACTAGCCATACATATACCTTCTCTGGTTTGAAGTGTCTGAGAAAGAGTCAACATGATCGTATCAAATTGATTTACTAATACCATTTTGGGGAAGTTGAAGCTATCAATGTCCATACTCTTAGTCATGGGATCCGAGGACTCATCGTGAATGCGTTGCAACTAATTGTATGAGCTCGTGAGTATAGCGTTATGAGATGATATCGGGTGCAAAGCATATAAAGAACGAGGCAAATATACATGGAGTCGTGATTGCAACGAAATGATGCTAAAGATACGAATATCGGTCCTCAAAATAATATCGTAACAGATACATATGACATATATATAGCATGTTTTTATTGACTATTTGAACGTGTTCCAATTATTTAAAGAATACCCACTTCTAGTTTATCAATTTATGTATGCACATACATATATATGTTTGTGTGGATTTAAATTCTAATTCCTCATGTGCTGGAGAGTGGAGTGTTACACATGATGATTTAATTGACCAACAAAGACCCACTTGAACCCGTTTTTTAGGTGAAAAGGCAAAATCGTCATCGACAAGAAGAAAGAAGAGAGATCAGGCCCTCTTTCTTTTCTTTCTTTGTTCTTTTTTTTTGAGCAATTAATCAACTTTCTCTCTTTTTCTTTATATCTCCCCAACTTTCTACGTCATAATTGCTCAGCAAGACGATGGCTCCCATCTCTTTTTGGCTTCGAGACTTACTTTACTTTCTGATGACCTCCCACAGTCACACACTCTCTCTCTCTCTTTGTTTTCCAGGGATTTTACGGGGCTTTTACTGTTGTCCATGGAGCTCAAAAAGAGGGCCAATTGCATTCGAGATCTCCCCTTTTCTCGCCTTCAAAAATAAAATTTAACCAAGAAAAAAAATTAGATTTGGTCTGTCTTTATCGCGCTTTAGAGGATGTCAGAAACTGTCTGATGTGGTGTGGGTCAATCTCTAGTAGCAGTAGATCTCAAATCAGCTTACCCGAAAACGGATGAAAGAGGGACAGTAATTAAAGATCTGACCGTGCTAAGCAATGGAAATTAACGAAAGTCCTACGCCGTGCCGAAACATAAAAATAAACGGAAAATTTAAGGAAGGCGAAAAACGGGTTCGGGGCTCCGAATTCGCCCCGAGACCCGAAAAAAAGGGAAAATCACTTTGGGCCGGGATGGAACGATTCGCTTTTGCCGGGCGAAAATCGGATTGAGTAAGCCTGGATTTGGACATGGCCCAAAACCTAATCTGGGCCGAATTGAACATCTGGAAAGAAATGGGTGGGCCGAGTTGCCCAATTAAGCCCAACGGCCTTTAAAGTGGGCCCATGGCATGATACCAAAACGTTGCTCAAGCCGTACGATCCCCCCCCCCCCCCCCCCCCCGCTCTAGTGTCTCGATGCATCTCGAGCGTTGACGAAAATCTCAGTTTTCATAAATCAAACGAGAGAGAGAGAGAGAGATTTAGGGCCCGTTTGGTTCGACTTTGGGAGAATGCAAATACCTTTGGGCTAAAGGAATTTTCCGAAATACAAGTAGTGTTTGGTAAGTGTTTTTTTAAAATCAATTTGGGCTAAAGGACTTTTGCTAATATTTAAAAAAAAAAAAAAAACTCTGGTGGAGCTTAACCACCGGTCAATTTTGGTCGCCGGCCACCATTGACGGCCAGATTTGGGTGACGCCCGAGGTCTGGCGACCGCCGCCTGGGGTCACCGGACCTCGGGCGGCCGGGGTCGCGCGACCCGGCCCAAGCGTTGCCCGGGTCGCGCGACCCGGCGACGCCCGAGGTCCCGGCGACCCTAGGCGCGGTCGCCGGGTCGCGCGACCCCTAGGCGTCAGCCGGGTCGCGCGACCCCTAGGCAGTGGTCGTCGGGGTCGGGCTAGCCCTCAGGCGCCGGTCGCCGGACCTTGGTCTTGAAAACAATCGCGTTGCTCAAGACCCATCGAACGCGGTTGTCGTCGGAGCCTCTCGGATCACTTAACCGATGCTATCGAGTGATTGTCGAGAGAGGATTCCCATCTCCCTAGAATGCCACTTTTTCTTGGGGGATGCGGCATCGCTTTAATCTCACAATCCGGCAAACATCTTGCCATGTTATGGTCGTGCATTCTTTCGGCTTGGTTTCTTGAAATGGTTCTAACAGCGTGCGGTGCTCTTTTTCTTCGTGGGCTTCGAATTTTACCTACTTACACATAGCTCTCTCTTTCTTTGTATAAAGAAAGGGATAATTGGAAAAGCCATTCTCAACTTTATCCTCCACATCAAATGCCCTTCTCGCATTTCACAACCTAAAACTTGCTCCTCCCCAACCTAAAATCCTCATTTGCACTCGTGCAACACCCGAATCCCATTTGCGGCGAGGTTATTTGCGTCTTGCCATAGCAAGGCCGTGCGAGCTTGGCTCGAGCACAGGCCCACCACGAGCGACGCGGTCACAAGCCGGGCAAGCTCTATAGCGGAGCTCTGCCGTGGCCGCAATTCGACCTTTTTGTCCTTGAAGAGGGGGGAGTTGTGACGATGGCGGGTCGGACCAAGCAAGCCTCTTCGACACGAGGAGAGAGCGTGGGAGGGTGTAAAGGTTTTTGCGGGTGGGGTAGTTTGGCAAATATAATGGTATTGGACAAATTATGTGGGATAGAAAATACAATTTGAAATTCATGATAAAAGTGAGGACGATACTCGTAGGTTTTTGAATTGTGAGGGTAGTAGTACTTCAACACAAAAAAGTAAAATTAAAAAATGATTCTTGTAATTTGTCCAAAAGGAAATTCCTTCTTCCATGCCGTCCGTACAAACTTTTCTTTTCAAATTGTCTGCAGGAGGAAGCCGTTAGTTGCTCACGAGCATGTATCGATGGTGGATTTGCCTTAAACTGTAAATACTTAAGATGTCTGAGGGCATTAATTGTTCTGAAGTTTGTAACTTGTCACTGAAGTTACGTGTCAAATGGGTTACTTGTCCTCTCCCTCTCTCTCTCTCGGTTTCATCTTCCGTGGTTTATTAGGTCTGTTGATGAAATTTTTAATGACCATCCACACCCGTTTAGCGCAAAGTGAAACTTCCATTTTAGAACTTAAAATATTATCGGAAATCCCAAAAGATTTGTAAAACTATTATGTGCAAATCTATTTGTCGAAATTTGTGTATTGAGAAAGTTTCGGGTGTTACGTGATAAGAAAAGTCAAAGCGTGTACGTCGCAAAATTGAAACTGAGCAAAAAAAAAAAAAATTGAAGCAAAAGTCTATCCCGACGTGTTCTCGGCGCTTGCTTTGATTCCTTTCCTTCCGTGGTCATCTTTCATTCGATTCCTTTCCCCCAAGCTTCTTTAGGAGAAAAGACAGAGAAATTACCAAAGGAATCAATCTTACATTCGAAGAAGCAAGCCCAAGTAAGTAGACATTGGATACGAAATTCAGGAAGGGAGTTTTTGCCCTTTTTCGAGCAATTTACTATAGACAAATTCTCCAAAAGGTTTCATTTTCTAACAATTTCGGCTTTTAAACGGAAAACCCAAAAAGAAAAAGGTGAAAAAATATGGGAAAGAGATCCTTATTGTATTCTCTCTCCACACTCAAAATAAAAAAAACAAAAAAGGAGATGTGAGATTGGGATAGTAATGTCCTCTTTGATTGAAAAAAAAAAGTACCAAATGGGGACTGTTTAATTAAAGCAAAGCTTTGCCTATGAAGGAAGAGAAAGACTACTTGCAGTAGGAGCAAAGCGACCCATGATTAGTGGCTCATCCAAAATATTTGCTGTGAGCTCATTTAAGAAGTGGCCACCTATGCATTCCCTTATCGCTTCTTTATTATTAGCAAAGGATAATGAAAGCGACCTTAATGCGAGATGAAAGGGTAAGCACACGGTAGCAACTCCAAAATTGGCCCCAGTTCTCAGAAATTGTGATCTATGTGTATGTATTCCCCTGTATCCCGATGATATCTCGATATCGGTGTCGAGACATTAGGTGTCGATTCGGTCCGCACATACCCGAAAAAAAAAAAACTTGCGGCGGTGATGTTCGATTCGTCCGTACCGATACTCGAATGAAGCGTATCGCGTCGAGTTATATTTGGAATCGGTGGAGGAATGGCTGTTCGACCCCATGCATTCGATCGATAGGCATATGATATCATTTAATTTTCTAGAAAAACGACTGGGAAGATGTCTTGCCGAGTCAGCTCATACCGCCAACTTTTTTTTGGTCGGGCGTATTTTCGAATGCGATATAACGCAATAAAGACATTAGGATACCCGAAAATCCTATCCTTTCAGCATTTCCAATGTCGTGAATTTCGAGCATGAGGGCTCAAGTTATTTCGCAAAAATCAAATAAGGGTTTTCCTAGTTACGATCGTTCTTACATCACTTAAAAAAAAGAGAGTAAACGGAACAAATTTTCTTTGGATTAATACCACGAAAAACCTCAAACTGGTACACCTGTGCCAAATTTACTCAAAACTATTTTTTTGACTACAAAAAACCTCAAACTGGTATACCTGTGACAATTTTTCCCCGAACTAATATTTTGACCACCAAAAACCTCACACTTGTACACCTATGACAATTTTACCACTGAACTAATTTTTTGACGACCAAAAATCCAAACTGGTACACCTGTGACAAATT